ACCACATAAGCTGTCATCCTGCGAAAATACACAACCAGACCTCCCCCTCACCAGGCACACTCTAATATGTATGTACAGCAACGTTAGGGGGCTAAGAGGGAAGGTAGCAGAAATGAGGACGCTGCGTGCACATCAGCACTCCGACATCATATTCATCACCGAATCCTGGCTCTCGCCAGACATCTCCGACGAAGAGATGCATGTTACTGGCATGGAACTCTTCCGCAGGGACAGGGAACATAGAGCAGGAGGAGGAGTGGCTATCTACGTAAACTCTTGTTTAAAGGCAAGGATGGTTAGCGATACGGCCTTAACCCAGGTCCCAGAGTCCCTATGGTGCTACTTCACTCTCCACAGTACCAAATACCTGCTCGGAGTCATATATCGGTCCCCCACCTGCTCCCCTACACATAAGGAAATGATCATCAAGGCTATCTTAACGACTTCCTCTGCAAATTACGATTCCGTAGTCATTGCCGGCGACTTCAACACCCCGTCCATCCTCTTCGAGACGGAAGGGAGACGCATCAGATCCTTCAATCAGAAGCTGAAGGATGCAATTAAGACTGCTGGCCTCTCAGAGAAAGTGGGTGATGCTACACGCTGGGGACCTAACGGAAACGCATCGCGCCTTGACTACGTTCTGACGAACGATGAACTTCTCATTGAGGATGTTTGCATCCAACCTCCCCTTGGCCTCAGTGACCACGCTGTAATCACCTTCTCCATGATAACTAGGGAGGCTCTGCAACTGGAGACGCCCAACACCTTCCCTTGCTACAGCAAGGCCAACTATGAGACCATGAGGGACTACCTCATGAATGCATCATGGCCAGTGGACTGGACTCATCTCACAATAGATGAACACTGGTTGGAGGTGAAGAAAATAATCACTGGGGCCATCAGTCACAGTGTACCAGAAGTAACACACAGACAATCAATGAGAACCTCATGGTTAAAGCGTGGGACAGAGAGGCTTATCCGGAGCAAGAAGCAGGCTTGGTTCAAGTGGCGCACATCACGCAGGGAGTCTGACTTCTTGAACTACAAAAGGATTCGCAATCTCTGTAACATTAGAGTGCGTAACGACAGATTTTCCTACCAAACAAACTTGGCAGCGAGGTTACAAAGCAACCCCAAAAACCTGTACCGCTTCATGTCAAGAAGAAAGTCGACCAGTAAGGGAGTGAATCTTGTCACAGGCCATGACGGGAGTGTGCTAAGCAGTCTAGAGATTGCCGAGCTTTTGAGCTCACACTTCCAAGCCCAACTCAGCACTGACACAAGATCCACACCGACTCGCCACGACACCGACCAGGTCGCAAATAACGAATACCTCTGTCACGTCTCTATTACAGAGAAAAAGGTGTTCGAGAAGCTATCTAGGCTACGTCCGGGCAAGTCCCCTGGCTGCGATAACCTGAAACCAGTGGTTCTGAAAAACTGCGCCGAGGTGCTTACCAAACCACTTCGCAACCTCTTTGAGCACTCAATAGACTCGTGCAAACTCCCTAAAGAATGGAAGAGTGCCATCTTGTCACCCATCTTCAAGGGAGGAGACAGAAAAAACCCTGGCAGCTACAGGCCGATTGCCCTACTCCCTATTGTGTCGAAAGTGTTGGAAAGCCTGGTAGCTGACACCATCTGGGAATTCCTCAATAGAGAAAACACTGTCCACACTGCTCAGCACGGCTTTCGTAGTGGTCGCTCATGTGCCACCAACTTACTAACTGCCTGGGACGACTGGACACAAAGCTGGGATAATAGAAAACCTGTACATGCTGTATTTCTCGACCTAGCCAAAGCATTTGACAGTGTCCCACCCACAGTACTGCTTCACAAGATCATGTCAGCTGGTATAAGTGGACCCCTACTCTCTTGGTTCAAGGAGTACCTGGAAGGGAGGCAGTTCTGCACTAAAGTGAACAGAATAAGGTCGGAGTGGAGACCGTCGACGTCAGGAGTATCCCAAGGAGCAATCCTAGGACCGCTTCTGTTCCTCCTGTTTGTCAACGATCTGCCAGACAAAATATCCTCACCCATCCTCCTCTTCGCTGACGACATAAAAATTTGGAGGGTGGTAAACGAAGAAGCCGACTGTGCAGCACTACAAAAGGACTTGCAGCAACTCGAGCTCTGGTCGTCGGAAAATGGTCTGAGCTTCAACTGGAAAAGTGCAAAGTAATGCACATCAGTAAAAATGAGGCAAGTACGACCGACTTCCAGTACATGTTGAGCAACCGTGCTATCACCAGAGTGTCCATGGAGAAAGATTTGGGGCTCAACTTCTCCGACACCTTGGACACCAGCTCCAACTACAAAGGTATGACAACCAGAGCGAACGCCATTCTACACTTTCTGCGTAGACAGCTTGGCGCCCTCACTCCCGAACTCTTCCTCACCATTTTCAAATCCTACGTGCGGCCGCACCTAGAGGTCTTCAATACGGTGGCTCCTCCAACACTCAAGAGAGACTCTAATCTCCTTGAAAGAATACAAAGAACTGCAACAAAATGTGTTGTGGGGCTAAGGGGAAAGACGTATCCTGAAAGACTTAAACACCTCAACCTATTTACCTTGGGTTATCGCAGGAAAAGGGGTGACCTCATTATGGCATACAAGATCGCCCATCAGGCAGACCATGCAAACAAATCAATTTTGCCTGCAACTGAACGATCTTCACGAGGAAACCCCATTAAGATAGCACACCAGAGAGCCAACACCACACTCAGGTCCAAATTTTTCTCCCTAAGAGTATGTGCTTTATGGAATGCCTTACCGCGACACATCGTTATAGCTCCTTCAATCGACTCTTTCAAGAGGCGATTAGACAGTTATGTCACCTCGCATGGACTACCACGGACGTACTCAGGTAGTCACCAACCTCAGTACCCCCAACTCCCTCCTAACTACCACTCACTATCTCTCTCCTTAATACACCCACATTACCTACTAATTCTTCTGTAGGAACCAAACCCACGCGACCATTCGGGCAATTCCCAAATACTTTTCTTTCGTTCTCATTTCTCTTTTCACCCCTTCTTTTCTTCTCCTTCCCTTTCCTCTTCCCTACATTATTATTATATTTTTTTTTTACTCTTCCTTATTTCTCTCTTCATTCCTTTACCACTACCTTAATATTCTCTTTCAGGTACCTACACAGACAGGAGTCACGGTTGTTCTCTAAACTTCCCAGCAGCCCGTAGCTCCCTAATCACTCTACAAATTACAACCTACTAACCCACAAAACATCCACCTCACCGAAGCTAAAAGCAAGAAAGCAGAGGGGATTTCCTCGTCCACTGCAGGAGTAAACCGAACAACTGGAACCAAGCCCTAAGAACTAGACGCGAGAGATCAAAAACTACTAGTTTTCTACGCTCGCACTATCAATATTGGATATATTGGATATTAGATTAGAAGTTGTGCCTGATATCCAGCCTGTTATGTTCCATGATTAGTTTCTGTGCGTGTCCTCTAAGATTAGCGCTGTGGCTAATATTTAATAAGTGACAAAGTGGATGGCCAGACGTGCCCAGTATGTTGTATGTCATTATCAAATCGCCTGTTAGCCTTCTGTATAACAGAGGGTGAGGATCCGGAGCAAATAGCCTTTCTCCGTATGTTCTGGACCTAAGTCCTTGATCGGATGTTGTCGAACGCCTCTGGATGCGTTCCAAGCTTGTCCTTCTAGAGATAAGGGGGAAGGCGATGGTTCCGAACTCCAAATGAGGTCGTATGAAGCTGTTGAAAATTTGGTGGTCGAATTGCCTGAAAATTCGTCTAAGAGTGACTAACGCCAAGTTTCCACGAAGTGTGTTTCTGTGACAGTTGGCATAGGATTTTAAGTCCTGCGTGACCAACACGCCAAGTCGTTTTCCGTCAGTGACGCTACAAGTTCCATGCCATTGAGGTTATATACATGAGATGCATCATACTTTACGTGTATTACTCTGTATTTCTCAGGATTAAATGCAAGCACACTGTTGACTGCCCAACTGTGAAGTCGAGTTAAGTCTTCCAGTAGAGAAACACTGTCTTCACTTTTGATTTCCCTCCAGAGTTTCACGTCATCGGCGAAAAGAAAGATTTCCGAAGAGGCAAGTCGTTTACGTATATTAGAAAAAGGGTAGGCTCTAGTACTGAACCCTGGGGAACACCACTAGGACATTCTGTTTCTTTAGACACAGAGAAACTCACCCGAACTCTAAATGAACGGCCCGTAGATATGAAGACAACCAGTCAATGAGCGGAGGTCGAATCCCAATTAATTTTAGTTTATCAGTGAAACAGTCGTGATTAACACGATCAAACGCCTTAGCAAAGTCTAGGTAGATAACGTCAGTTTGTCTTCGATGGTTAACAATGCTTGTCCATCTATCTACTGCAGTGAGCAAATTGGTAATTCGAAATCCATGTTGTTGGGGCACAAAGAAATTTATCTTTGCGAGGCAATCCTGTAGCGTCGCACACTTCCCCAAAATCAATAGCCTAGGGTTGGACGACTTTTGACATTGATGCTGACCTTGATAGTTCAACTGGACTCGCTGAGCTGAAGGCACCCGGTCAAGCATCCTCGCCATTTGGCACGCTGTCGCCTTACGTTGCACTGCTCGTATTCGACTCCAGCCAGTTAGTTGGAACGCATCGGTATTTTGGCACAACCATCCAAATATACTATTCCATCCGTGGTCTTGGTCTCGTATTCGTGGGTATATAACAAGTCCGAATAATTAGTGATTGGTCCTTGCGTCTTTCAAGTTCGCAACAGGACAAATCCTAAAATCCCTCAGTCCATCGTATATCAACGGATCCATCACTTTGGAAGGATTGGATAAAAGTGTCACCTGTCTGTATTTCTTTGGATTGCTTCGTTGACCCAATTTGAAAATTGGCGTCATGTGACTCAGCTTCCAAGAATGAGATGTCACAAAAATGACTCTCAATTCAGACAGAACCACATTTTCGATGTCACAGAATTTTTTTTATCAATTTTATTCATGGTTTGGTATGATTTTTACACAGCATGGTTTGTTTTAATGGCTCAGATCTCAGGGACATCGCGGTCATTTGTAGGACATTGTACGTCGAAATGTTGTTTATGTGATGGCGTGACTCTTGGTTTTTGACTTCTGTAATGTTTTATTCCGGTCATCACTTAGTTTCCTGTGATGGAAAAAAGCGGTAATGTACTTATCCAGTACTAACCTGCTAGGAATCTGAACATTGATATTGATCTAAGTACCTCGTCTGATCTTAAGAAGGTATGCGTTTTTTTTAGAACTTACAGAGCTACAGGAACTGGAATTTCGGTTAACAGACTGCGATGACTTCTATTTTCTTTTTTCTGCTCGGATAACAGTTGATGAGTTTCAAAGTGAGAAAGGGCTCTGTACTTGTATTGCTTAAATTGTTTTTTAGAATAAAGCATCAGCAAGGATTACTCGTAAATTTTAATGATTTTGAACAAAGAGTAGTTGACCTTCTCCACACATGCTCACAGGAGGAGTATAAGGAGGCCCCGAAGTGAGTTTGTCTTGTTATATATGGTACAGATATGGACTACGGTTTTCGAAAACTCCTGGGGAAGGATGTGGACTTCTACAAATCGTTGAAGCCACCAACTTCAAATATCTTCATCACTTAAGCTTGAATCTTGGTGCTGCTGACGATGAAAAACTGAAAGCATATCTTGTGAGCTGCCTTAAGAAACTGAAGGTATTTAACTAGGTGGTTTCAGTGACTTCGTTTTCAGACCGAAAGTGATATCCGCATTAAGCAACTCAGTCAATCCGTATCAGAAATTACTTCTTGTTTAAGATCTGTTGAGGAGGTTTGTTTGTAAATATCTATTGTGGTTTTAGGCCAAGAGATCGATAATGGATGACTTTGAAAGTTTCAAGGTGCAGTATTCAGCTAGGGAAGCTGATCTACGGACAAAATATGAAAATACTATTCAAGAAATGGGATTACAACATGAAGAGGTTTGTTCTCATGCTCTTTTGTATAATGATATCAGATAAAGACGAAATTAGAGGAGTCAGTATCCAAAGAGAAGGATCTGTTTCAACAAATGCAGGAAGAGCTTCATAGAGACTTCAAAGTCGCCTGGATTTGGCCTTAAGTAATAACAAGGTAAGCATTTTTGAAAGGATCTATGTATTTACATTATGTAGCTTTTCACTAGCCACACGACATGCAAGATGAAAATAGACTCAGTCGTTAGAAGTTAAACATCGCTTGCTTTTGCGAACACCTTAATTAAGATGTCAGAAGCACTCAGTTTTCGAACTAAATTTGTGTGGATGATAGCTTCCGAAGAGAGCAGAATTTTACAAAATCGTTTCAATTTTAAGTACCTTCAGTACGTGGAGGATACCTTACTGTGCAAAGAAATAAACTGCTGAAGTCTCACATAGTAGGCGATCAGCATTCCTTAGCGTGGCACCAATTTCTCACCGCCTTTAATACAAAGCGTAGGTGGTTTGCATCGACCTGTGCTTGCATATGTGATCGGTGGTGAACACTTGTGAGCGAAAATGGCTATACATCAACATAGTTTTGTGAGTGCTTCTTCCTTGACTTGGTGGTCGGCTTTCATACTACAATAGACCGAGACACGTTCGACACACCCTTGTTCCTTGACGT